GGATTAAATACAGAAAGCAAACATTGATTTCTCAAGACATAAATATAGTTATAAAAATATAGTTAAATACATTTTCAAATCACAACTTAAAATTCTTTGAAAATAAACCTTCATATGCTGGGATTAAATTTAATAATCTTCTACCTAATAATATTTTACAAATAACAGACAAAAATAGATTTTAAAAAAAGCCAAAAACTGTTATGTTATCCAAGCCCCCCCTAGAGGATTTTTTTGGTTGACTGTGTTGTAAATTTTTAAGTTATAAGTTTTTGTATTTTTGTTTAGCCTTTTTATACAAGTTATAGTTAGTTTTAACAATATATTTTTAATTGTATAACACCATTCTGGTGCATCATGTTGTTCTCCTGAATAAAGATTATATGACTATGAGTATAGTTGTATATTTGAAGATTAAAGTAATTGAAATACCCTTAAAAACAACTATGGCAGTTTACTAACTAACCAGCAGTCGGGTTAACCTGAACAAATTGGAATGACCTCGCCCCTTTTATTTAGGTTAGTTGGGGTTTTGCTGTGCACCTTTTGAAAGTTTTGATTGTTTTACCAGAAAAGTTCATATTAGTACATTTGCATTTACTCCCAAATCGTACATTCATTTATTAAGGTTCAATTATCAATTATTTAAGATGGGGACGCCACTATGTGCGTATTTTAACCCAAATATGAGTGAAGGACGAGTGTCTCCTATCTTAAACCTCAGTTGCAGATCACATAGGCTACATTGAGATTCTTATTACCTCAAAATGAAAAAAAAAGAAAGAGAAACACCCTCACTATTGAATTCAGTAATTCGCTGTCATTTGTTTATATTTTGAAAACATATCAAAACTTAAACCTTATAAATACCTTAATAAAATTGTTCATGTAGTTTGCATGTCTCAAGCTTCATAACTTGCTGTTTCGTCACCTTACTGCGTAGCTCATGCTTTTTGAATTGTGTTAACACTTAAAATCTGCTGCTCAGTTGATTCCAACTGCTGTGAAGTTTAGAAAGCAATTTTTGATTATTTAAGATATGCCCTAGATTTATTTGTACATTTTTAGATGATCTGAAAAAAATTGGATGGCCTTTTATTTATGTCGATTGGGATTTTACTGTGCACCTTTAAGTAGTTGTTTTTTTACCAGAAAAGTTCATATTACAGTAGAACCTCGATAGTTCAACACTTTGTGGACTAAGAGGATGTCGAGCATCACAATGTCGAACCAAAGGGAGTATTTTGGACAATCACACATACATTTTAAACACAAGATTAATCAAATAATAGTATTAAAACAAGATTATTAACAAATAGTATAAAACTTGACAAAAATTATCAACTTGCATCTCTACTCTAAATTATTTGGCTTCTTACCGTGTAAATAAAATAAAAATAAAATAAATAAAATAGTGTGTAATGTTCAATCGCCTTTTACTTTGAATGTAAGAAAAATGTAAATTAATGGTAAGTATAGTTAAATTATCAAACTCATCATGGATTATGTCAAGTGTTGGAAGTGTACAACCATAGAGGTTCTACTGTAGGCTACTACTCGAATATTTGCTTTCACCCAAATCGTAGATTCTATTCTTATTATTGTAGATCAATTCTCAACGTCTCCTATCTTGAACCTCGAACGTCAGTTGCAGATCACACATATACAAAATTCATATTACCTCAAAAGGAGTACATTTAGAACATTTATCAAAATTACAAAATACATGATAGCTCATTGTGAACTATAAATGTTTGTAATACTGAGTTTGAACAGAGTCCTTTCTGGAAGTAATAAAATGCCATTACCTTTATTTCAGCCATTCCACATTTCAGCACAAAATGTTACCTACTTGAGCAGCCAAGTAAAGTGAAAGTGGCACCTCAGTCCGCCATTATGTGCAAGGTTAAGTGTGCTTACACTCTCGCATACTGGCAAATCAACAAAAATTTCCATCAGTAAAATTTTTAGGGAACAACTAATATCATTAAATAATTAGTAATAAGTAATATCATTAGGCTAAATAATCAGTAATTACTTTCATTGTAAAATAAAGCCCCTTTGAAGAGTCGAGATAAGAGAGAAAATTATGTAAAGTTAAATCAAAATTAAATTAAAAACTGCATCCACAATTAAAAAGACAAACTTTTGAGGTTAATGATTGAAACGTAATTTTACATTAGGATTTTGCTGTTAATATAGCAAATATTATAAGTGTGTAGGCTTTCAATACAATAAAGGAGATTGTAGAACAACCATGCCAATCTTTACATTTGAATGGTTAAAGGCATATTTTAATGGTTCAAAATGAAATAAGGTTGTTTTCCACTGGTTGGATTTGAAAAAATGTACAGCAAAGAATAAAAAGTGCATTTTTTCAAGATTCCAGATTAATAGAAATATAATGTACACTGAAAGATACTACTTAGAAGATTTCAATCTGAATTTCCATTCAATTTGCCCAATAACACAAGTCACTCATTGATTTTTTTTTAAATAATTACTTTGGTCCTACCAACATGGGATAGCAAGTCACAATGTCGTATATTAAGATCTTTTAGAGTGTAGCCTATGTCTTTTTATCACATTAGGAAAACCCACTTAAAACTTTGTAGGCCCTATACCACACACTGATCAAGTCTCAAGAAAATTGTAACCAAACTCAGGCCTATGAACATTTTCAGATACTATAATTTGATTCTAAAATTATCTTTTCATTCATCAGGAGGATGTTTACAAGTCAGATTTGTAAGTTCACTACTGATTGATTGAAGTTCAGTTATACCTAATTGCATAATGAATAAGTTAAGTTTGAGTTTTGTATTGATTAGAAAACACAGAATGAATGATTAAATTGTGTCAACAACTCCTGAGGAAATTAATGAGCACTAAGCAAATTTACTTGCAGTGTGATGCATTATGTTACATCAGCTTGTAATTCACATATATATTCTTTGGCAGATAATTTACAATTTACGTAAAAATAGAAATATATTTAGCTAACACTACTGAACAATTGTGACTTATTTACGTACCTTTTACCAGCACTTTTTTCCGTCCAGTACATCATTATGTACAACATATGCTTGTGTAGCTTTTTAAAATGTATTTTGTAATATAAGGTACTTTCTTATTCCTTGGTAAACCGTTCGAGCAGACCTATTGTAATGTACAGCATTGTAATAAATAGGCATTCAGCATTGATGGACGCTCATTATTGGAGTTAAAATTATGTCTAAGCAAACTGCCTGTGTGGCAACTTATTTTTTAGTGACTAGTTTTAGAAGTTTCAGTACTTTTACCCATGTCTCGATTCACCTGTTACAAGCCAATTTTACATCTTCATTCAGAGCAAAACTTGTTAGTTCTTCATACGCCAGCTCATTTTTGCTTAACCGTTTATACTGCAGCCTCTAAAATCGTCGGAGCATAAACATCTTTATATCAATACCCAAATAAGAAACAATGTAGAAAATGTTGAATTATAAGCTTAAATAATAGTTGTTTGCATCTAAGTTGAGTAAAGCTTTACTATATTACCTAGCAATGAGTAAAATCTTTAACAAATTACTTAGCAACAGATGGTGTACTCCAGTCAAAGCTACAGTAGACTTCCTCTAATCCGGACTCCTCGGGACCAAGGCCAGTCAGGATAACGGTTTTTCCGGTTAAACCAACGTCCCAAAAACTTGCTAAAACGGACCGTTTACTGTGATATTGGACATAAATTTAGGAGAGCATTGTATTTAGACACGTGATCACTGGTCTCAAAACTTTCTCACGAGATCAGTCGTTTTAGTACCGCCCACATCCTGCCGATCTAGTCCAGTTAAACCAATGTGCTGATAAAAATTGTCCGGTTCAAAGAGATGTCATTTCCGCCGAGTGCAGTCGAGGGAGTCTACTGTAACTTATCAAGCAAGAGTAGGAGCAGCAAAATTTATATAAATTTAATGTTTTTTTATATTCAATATGTGATAACAGAAAACATACAAATAAAAAGAAATTGATGTTACAATATTGCCACAAATGCACAGCGTTTAAGTGTATTTATGTTATTTGGTAACGCTTTAACTGGAAATTTATTATTTTTTTGTGGATTTGGCAATTCTTTATTTGCCTATTATATTGATGTTATTCTTAAAGCATTACGCTTTAGCTAGTAATTCATTTTTTCCTCAATACAATTATCGATGAAAATTAAATCTCTATAGGCCTAACTTCCGCAACAACTGACAGAAGAAGCCAGATTTAACTATTACTCACTTGACTCTTGCACTAAAATTTAAAAATCCATTTGACGAGCCTCATTTCACCAACATTAACGTATATTTCTCAATTGTGCGAGACATATTTTCACAGCCTCGGAGCAATTTTATCACGCCAAGTCTCTCTGGGTGTTTTGCAGCGTACATTCTTTTTGCATTGCAACATCCAGCATTTGAAGTGACAACATTTGCGCCTGTAACTTCATAATACACATCGCAAACAATGGCATGGTTAATTTCATATAATCAGCGTGTTTGGTTACCACAAAAAGGTTTTTTATTTCATATCCACTCTGGGAAATTTGTAGGAAATTATTCATTGACAAAGAGGTTAAATTTATCTATCAATTGAAAGTTATGGATGTTGAAACATAATTTTTTTCATATAACTTATTTTATCTCCAACACACGTCTCAAGTCTTTGGTTTTAAAATTAAAGAACATCATTAAAATCAATAAGACTCACGTGCTCACTATGTCACATGATATAGGCCAACCAAATATAAACGTCTGTTGGGTGGTCAAAAACCTCAGGAATTTGACATACCTTGTGGGCTTTCGGAGCACTCTTCATGCATACGTCGTTGTGTACAACGTAATAAGAAAAGAGATTGCTTAAAGGGCATGGTTTACGACATTCATGTCAAGTCTTCATTTGGCCAAACCTATTCAACAGAACCAACAACACTATATGGTTAAACAAGATTCGAGGAAGCAGTGATACACAAAATATGTTATAGAAAACTTTATGTAGATTTATTGCTGAAATTCATCTTTTTACAAACGAAGCTAAAAAATTGCAGGCCGGGCCAGTAAAACTAATGTTGATTTTGGATCCTCTGCTTGTAAAGCAAGGATCAACAATATCAGGACAATAGCTCCCTGAAACCCTAATCCTGCTTACAATAGTCCTAGTCCATGTCCCAGTTTAAGAACACCACAATTATTGCTAAGCAGTATTTATATTTATAAAATACTATGACTTAAGTGTAAATTGAAAAATATTTACAGAAGACTAGATTCAAATGATGTTTTCACTTATTTTAGTCTTATTCCTAGATATCACAGTTACTTATCGACGACAGAATGTTTTCAACAAAGCTTGAACCTTATTAAGTCAATATTGTCATCACTATCGGCGTTTATTAAATTTAATAATTAACAAATATAGTTGCAATAATTTCTCCCAATAGAATAAGAACTAATAAATCAACGATCGCCGATAAATATTCACACGACAATACAATAAAAGTGATAGTACAAGTCTAAGGTGGTTAAATTGCTTTGAGAATTGATTGAAATTATCATATCAACTAAAACGATGTTAAAAATCGCCTCATTTTAATTGCTCTAACCTCCAAAAATAATAACATTATCAGCTTATAAAACTTGTCTACGACAATTAGATGCTAGATAAAGTTAATGTTATTTTATAAAAGTAGAGTCTGTCGCATAGGTATAGGTTTTCATTATTGCTCATGAATATTCTTTGAGAAATTTTTCCAACTATTATACAGTACAACAATTTTCATAAAATAAGGCTACCTAATACCAAACTCATAAGGCTATAAACAAAACGATGTGAGAAGCAGTGTAAGTTTAGAGGCAGGAAAATAGTGCGATTTTGGGGTCCTGAAATGCTAATACCAAAATATCACAAACATAAATCGGTTCCATAAGCAAAAGGGCTATTGTATCTTCTAACCAAGTTTCTGTTATTATATTTCAGGCGGCTTAATAAAATCATGTTATTATAGCCTACAACATAAAATTATTAGCTTAAAACCTAAAGCTTAAATTCACTTTTAATTCTCCAACAGCGCGAGTCTGCTACGGTGACTCTTTGTACTCAGGAAGATTCATCCATAAATGGGCATCCAAAGATTTAAATCTTGGAAAATTATGATAGATAAATGTGCATTTAGAAATTCTACTAGGAAATATGCATGTTCGCCGGCATAATTATCAGCTAACCAGTCCTTTAGCACAGCTACTTGACACCACTTCTCAAATCAAGTTAAAAAATTGTTTACAATACAACTCTGAATGTGCATGCAAGTATTACTTATCTCTATCTTAATACTATGTTGGAAAACGACGTGTTGATTGAAAAAGATATTCTAGGCCTACTGTGACAGTAGCTTCCCAGGCCATCCAGCGCCATCTGTAGTCTGTGACGGGGACTCCAACAGACCACCTACAACAACCAGGAATTATTGTAAGGATAAGGGCTTCGTCTGCAATTAAATACATATACAATTTACACCACATAATAATTCATTACCTATTTAAGTTTGCATGTACCTACAGCACACACTAACACTAACACTTCCTTATCCTGGAGTCAGATTTAAGTGCACAGGTGTGAAGAAAGTAACAGTTCACAGAGTTGAAAATCTCTTGCTATTTCTTCATTCTAATATTTCAAATTCCCCACATGATTAATTTAATAAGCCTGGATAGTGTTGCTTTGGTTCAAGTTCCTACAGCATTCAATATCAATAATAATGGAAGAATTTAAAACAATCTGCCCGTAGTGGATCGACCGGGTGGAAAAATAACCGGGCAAGAAATAATTAGAGGAAAAGAGTTAAAGTTATGTTTTTTTATATAACTCCCACTCTAGACGGACGAAGGACGGCAGTTTGAATTCAGACCCAGGTTAGTTAGGACGCCACTACCTTTTCTGGTCATTCTCTACATTATTTAATAGTAAGGCTATCCTCATATATAGGCCTAATACGTGAAGGCGATTTCTACAAAACACTACTCGTACGTCAATAATGGACGGATTTTTACAAACGATGTGTCACAATTAAATATTTTTTGTGAAGACGCCCCCTTTCACCAATTTCTGCAATAAAAGTCCTCGGGCTTTGCCCCACAGGCCATCAAAATCCCAATGTATTTCTTATGAAGAAAAGATTATGTTTACTTAAACAGTAATATAATTATTTGTAATATAATTACAGCTGTTCTTAGATACAACAAGAGCGTTCATTTCCAGTTTGGATAACTGGAGTGGAATGAGCATTCGTTTTCAGAATGAGTTCAGTTCATTTATACTTTCGATAACTGGTGTGGAGTGATTGATTATTTATCTTTGAGTTTACTCTTTTAAGTCATCGCAAAATTATGACTGTTATTCGTTTTGAAATAACGCCTGCAACAATTTGCAATTGCTCGAATTCGAGCAACAGGTGCACTAGTATTTATCTATTAGTCAAGTAGATATTCAATAGCCATATTAGTAGCATGATTATTATAAAAACACACAATCAGGGTGTCTAGTTTATTTCCATTATAAAATTCAAGACTAATTCCAGACTTTTCAAGACTAATTCCAGATTTTTCAAGACTAGTTTTTTCAATAATTAGTGGGTGTTGATACCAAAATGTATCGATTCTCGATTCTTGATACCGATACCAATTTTTATAGCTTAACCAAATTTTCTGAATAATACTACACCAACCCCTGTCTTTGTCATAAAGTAGTATTATGATAATTTGGTGTTTTCAAGTAAAGAAATAATGCAGCAATAAAAAGTTCTAACTAGCAAATTTGTTTTTTTTTTTTATCATGAAATCTTCCACGTACCGTACGTTTAGACATCATCATTGACTGCAGCGGTTACAGAAACGTGATCGTCGTCGTTCGCGATCACAGCAAAATCATGAACATTTCCCGCGGCCTTGTAGACATCAATGACATCATCGTCGTCTCCCGAGGACTCAGAAACGTCATCGTCATCGTCCCCGATCGCGGCAAAATCATGAACATTTCCCGCAGTCGTGTAGACATCATCGTCGTCTCCAGCGGTCACGGAAACGTCATTGTCGTCTTCCGCGGTCACGAAAACGTCATCGTCGTCTTCCGCGGTCACGGAAACGTCATTGTCATCCACCCGCGGTCACGGAAACGTCATCGTCATCTCCCGCGGTCACGCGTCATCGTCGTCGTCCGCGATCGCGACAAAATTATGAACATTTCCCGCGGCCGAGCAGATATCATCGTCGTCTCCCGCGGTCACGGAAACGTCATCGTCATCGTCCGCAATCGCGACAAAATCATAAACATTTCCCGCGGCTGTTTATACATCACCGTCATCTCCCGCGGTCATAGAAACGTTATCGTTATCGTCCGCGATCACAGCAAAATCATGGACATTTCCCGCGGCCGTGTAGACATCATCCTCGTCTCCCGCGGTCACAGAAACGTCATCATCATCTCCCGCGGTCACGGAAACATCATCGTCGTCGTCCGCGATCGTGACAAAATCATAAACATTTCCTGCGGCCGAGCAGATATCATCGTCGTCTCCCGGGGTCACGGAAACGTCATCGTCGTCGTCCGCGATCGCGGCAAAATCATGAACATCTCCCGCGGGTGTTTAGACATCACCGTCATCTCCCGCGGTCACGGAAACGTTATCGTCATCGTCCGCGATCACGGCAAAATCATGAACATTTCCCACGGCCGTATAGACATCATCGTCGTCTCCCGCGGTCACGGAAACGTCATCGTCATCTCCCGCGGTCACGGAAACGTCATCGTCGTCGTCCGCGATCGTGACAAAATCATGAACATTTCCCACGGCCGAGCAGATATCATCGTCGTCTCCCGCGGTCACTGAAACGTCATCGTCGTCGTCCGCGATCGCGGCAAAATCATGAACATTTCCCGCGGCTGTTTAGACATCAACGTCATCTCCCGCGGTCACGGAAACGTTATCGTCGTCGTCTGCGATCACGGCAAAATCATGAACCTTTCCCGCGGCCGTGTAGGCATCATTGTCGTCTCTCGCGGTCACGGAAACGTCATCGTCATCTCCCGCGGTCACGGAAACGTCATCGTAGTCTCCCGCTGTCACAGAAACGTCATCGTCGTCTCTCGTGGTTTCGGAAACGTCATCGTCGTCGTCCACTATCGCGGCAAAATCGTGAACATTTCCCGAGGCCGTGTAGACATCATCATTGGCTTTTGCGGTTACGTAAACGCAAGACGACGATCGCGGCAAAATCATGAAAATTCCCGACTTTGAAATCAAATTTAAGACTAAATCCCGACTTTTCAAGACCATTTTGAAATTCAAGACTAATTCCCGACTTTCCCGACTACTAGACACCCTGCACAATGCATTTTTGTGAATATTCCCGTGAGTCTGTCAAACCAGGGTTTCGGTATAGGTACCCTAAGTGTTGATCTCACTTGGTTTGAATTTTCAAAAAGATTTCAAACACAACAAAACATAGCGTTCACGAGTTGGCGTTTTTTTTTTTTCCATTGAAATGTAACTTATTATCGATATCATAACTTACTTTTGTTATTATAAGGTTGGTTCATTCTTATAACTCAATAAAATGAAACTTCAGAATCTCATCTTTCCATTGGTATATATGAGTTAAGTTATGCCATTTCAACGATTAACTAATAAGTAACCGTGCGTAACATGCAACGGAAAAAATCGTTGTAGGCCTAAGTAAGTTAGGCTACTCTAATTGACAAATTTTGCCTGCCACTCCAGCAACACATTTTGAAATCGACAATTTGTTGTTGACTCGCCACTCCTAGGGTTAACCCCACAAATTGTTGTCAATGCTATAAGTTAAATTTTAAGTTAGCCTAGTCTAACTTGCATTAGTATTAAATTGAGGCCTAACTTAATTAAGTTAAGATTTTATGATTTTCCAAACAAAAAATATATAAAACTGTAGGCCTACAATTTAGATAATGTTTTAACCCTCAGAGTGTTAAGCGTCGCGTAATCGACGCACAATCGCCGTTCAAGGCGAAGGCTCTGGGACTGACTGAATCAGATAGAACTGGATCGAGATTGGTATCGTTGTTTTCGGCAGATTCTAAGCTTTTTCCTGATGTCTGTCTAGACGATTTTCATTTTAGTTCCGAAAATATTGTAGCAGACAGCTGACGTGCATATTTTTAAACTTGGTTAACCTCGCACCGATGACTGATGTGTTTAATTACGTTTATCATTGTTTTAGTGTTAAAAATAAAAAGTAGTGATATAAGTTACGTGGTGCATTATAAGATGATTTAAGTGATTTTGAAGGGCTGGTTGATGATCCTGAAGAAGTAGGTAGTAGTGATGTGACGAGTTGAGTTGGCAAGTCGAGTTGACTAGAGTCAAGACCCGAGTCGAGTCAACCCGAGTCATCTCATTTAAAACTTAAGTTGGTACGAGCTCATATGGAGATTGCCGAAGCTTCACTAACTCGGAACGTAACGAGTCCGACTTGCAAAACTTAAACGCTATCGGCTCACAGCGAGTCAAGAAGCCGAACTCATACAGAGAAAGCCGAACCTTTACGAACTCGGGACATAACGAGATGACTCGGTCGGTTGACTCGCGAAACGTAAACGCTATTGCCTGAATGTGAGTTGAGCCGACTCGCCAAACTATAGGCTAACCCACGATTACTAGAAAAATACCGGTATGGATCATAAACAAATGACGTTTTTGGCCCGAAAATAAACATTAGCCTATTTAACATTGCTTAAATGGCACTGCCAAAACTTATGTTCAATGCTATTAGTAAAGGATTCGGGCCAACGGCCAACAATGTTATTTGTTTATGTTTATGATCCATATCGGTATTTTTCTAGTGTTCGTGCTATAACCCTATTGGCTGCGCTGCGAGTCGACCCGAACTCGACCGATGGAAGCCGAAGTTTCAAGATGATACCAAGTTGAGTCTGACTCGAGTCAAGAAAATACTCGACTTGTCGCATCACTAGTACCGTAGGTAGTGATATTGATGTAAATTATCCGCCAGATTCCTTGCTATGGTTAGGCTATGCATTCTTAGCTAACGCTAAGTGTACGAAATCAGTTTTTCACCCATAACTTATTTATTTGCATTACTTCCTTATATTATTCTATTTTTGTAATCCTTAAGTTATAAAATTTAGAACAAAGTGGCTATTTTAAAATATTTGTAGACTTAAAAATTATAAAAAATTTTTGAGCGCAAACATAAGTAAATTTTTTTCATTAAGCCTATTTTATAATTTTTGAGAAAAGTTAACCCCACAAAAATTATTGAATTTTTTTTTTCTTTGTAATGTTTTATACGTATATTAACTTACATTGAAGCCCATAATTTTGAAAACAAAATGATATAGAAAACAGTGTAAGTTACTTATGTCTGTGAAACTGCCAATAAACCAACATTAAG